TTCGGGTGTGGAGGCTGCCCCCCCAGCCCCCTCACCACCTCCATCACCACTGCCACATGCCATCTGCCTGGGGCCCGTCACCTCACCCGGCCACTGAGGCCACTTCCTAACCATGTCGCCTCTCCCGCCTCACTCAGTCCGGAACGTTGCAGAGCGAGTTCTCAGGTGGAACACGCGGCCCCTCCTAACAGCCTCAGTGCTGGGCCCCACCAGCCACGGGGTGCGGTCTCAGCGTGGGGGCCCCGTGGGCCAACTCCTGCCCAGGCCGAGCGCTGGGCCGTCTACACCCACACAGAAACCACCTGTGTGTGATTTAATTTGGGCCTCCAGCAAAACCGAGCCAAACAACTGTCCCCGCCTTGAGATAACGCTTTCCCCGAAGGAACAGAAAAGGCTTCATCTGAAAGTTGCTTTGAAGAAGGACCCTCTTCTCCCTCATGTTTTATTCTGTTTACTCAGAACAGATGAACGGGAGCTGTTTCTTGGTGGGCACCGGATGGCCCGGGTCCCGCCGGTGCATTCTGCGAGCTTCCCGGCAGGGGAGCCCGTTTCCAGGCAGCAGACGCCCACCCGGGACGGAACGGGCAGCCTGGCCCAGGTGGAGCCATGGCCTGCCCGCCAGGAGCAGAGGCCTGCAGGAAACGCCTCTCCCTTGTGTTGCATTCCTCACTGGCCGCGTGAAAAGTGTGCATGCGGGGAGTGAAGGGGGGAGGTCTGCTCTGGATGATGCAATGCCACAGGGATTCCCCGGGGAGGGCAGCATTTTAAATTCCAAATATATAAGCTGGCTTTCAGGCTGGACATTAAGTCCTCCATCTAAAAAGGTCAGTGCATCCCCAGCTGGCTGCTGGGCAGGAGCCTAGAGTGGGCCTGAGAAGAAGGGCCGGGGCTGGGGTCCAGGACTCCCACCCCAGGTGGGACATCCCTAGGTGCGCAGAGCGGGGCCCGAAGCAGTGCCAGCAGGTGACAGACTGCCGGCTTCGCTGAATGATGAGACAAGCTGACCGCCGTCCAGCTGGCAGCCAAGGCCGGTGCTGGGCTGCCACAGATTTCAGAGGACTGTTCAAGCCAGGGCGCCCTGTGACCTCCAGGGCGTGGAGCCGGGATCCCACGTGGGAACCGGCCTTCGCCACTGGCTCCGCCTGGTGGGATGAAAAGCTCCATGCGTCTCGAGTTGCTTTCTATTGATCTCCGTAGATGAACCAAGGGAAGCAAATCTTGAATTGCTGACCCGGGGTGATGGGTGCTGGGGGGTCCTTATTCTGTTCTCTCTACTTTGGGGTCTGTTTAAAATGTTCATAATAAAATGCAGGGAGTAAGGAAATTGTGATATTTCTAGATAGTGTTCGTTGGACAAGTGAGGGGTGCTCTGGGTCCTTCCCACAGCCCCTCCCCCTTGGCACCCCCGGAATTCCTGTGCGCTCCCTGCCAGGGAGACAGGCCTGAGCGCCCACAGACGCTGTCCTTCCTCCAGGCTCACGGCAGGGGAGGACGAAGATGCCTGCAGTTTACACCAGTGCAGCCAGGGGCTTAAACCAGTGGATGCAAGGAAAGGAAACGTGTTTTTCTTGATTGTAAGGAAGGTTCTGGTGGTTCCTGGCCCAGGCTCTGCCTGCCACCTCCAAACGTCTCTCTGCCCTGCCCTCTGTGGCTGCCTCCCTTTTCCCAAACATGTCTGCACGGTCGGCCAGACACCGCCCCTCACTGGAAGCCCTCTGGAGCCTGGCTCGCAGCCTCGGCTGCAGGTAAGGACTGCTGCAGAGTTAAAAAATAATGATGCCCAGACCCTTGCCCCACAGGATGCAGTCACAGCCCCAGGGTGGGCCCTGCGTGTCCCCGAGGGGGGACCCTAGGGTGCAGCCAAGGTTGAGACCCACTTCTCACCTGCGCCTGGGTCCCAGGAGCAAGTCCAGACCACGGGACCTGCCTCCCCTCCCCTCCCCACCTCCTTGTCCCACCTGGGCTCCTCCTTTGCTACCCCCTTGCCTTGTCCCAGGCTCTTCCTTCCCCCGTGGCCATCTCCTCTGTATCCTTCAAGACCCAGCCCCAGCACACCTCCTCCAAGAAGCCCATCCTGGTTTCCGGGGTCACTTCCACCCCACATCACTGGTGAGGATGGAGTCTAGCACCATGCATACTTGAGCCTCTTCATCCCCGCCACTCTACCCAGAGTGGAGCTGAGGGCAGGTGCCCAGAGCGGGCCACCCTCCACCTTCAATCTCGTTGGCAGAGTGGAACCAGGTGCAGGACCCTCCTGGGCCTCTCCGCCGTCTCTCAGGGATGCCCCAGCCTGGCGTGCCCTCACTTCGGGGGCTGACACACTCCCTGGCGGCTGCTGGGGGCCACTTTTGTGTTTCAAAAGTGGCGGGTAGCTCCCTGGTAAGGACATGCCAGTGAAGGGAGGGTCTCAGGAACGCCTTCACCCCAGAGGGGACCCTGCTCAGCCCAGGCTGACGGCCCTCGCCCTCGCACACGACTCCGACTGAGGAGGAAATGGGCAGAATTCAAGATGGCTCGGGCTCAGCGCGGTGTCCTCCAAGGAGAAGCAGGCGAGGGGCCTCGCTGGTGACGCTTGGGTCCGGCCAGAGGTGGGGGCCCGCGCGAGGCACGCAGTGGCCCTCTTTCCCTCGTGATGGGTCCATGTCACCCCCCCGCCACCAGAGGAAAGAGCTTCAGCCCTGCATTCCTGGGAAGGGCGCGTACCTGACACGGCGGTGGAGGGGCTGCTGGGCTCCCCGTAGCCCACCTGGTTCACGGCCACCACCCGGAACTCATAAGTCACTCCTTGCCTGAGCTTATCCAGGCTGATGGTGTAGGACGTGGCGCCCCGGGGGATGTCCTTCACAAACATGTCCCACAGGCCTTCATCTGCAGGGGACACGAAGCAGGGGCAGAGGTTAGCGCTGCATCTCTCCCAGATTGGGTCCCCCACTCACAGACGACAGCCAGCCCCGCCGCTGGCCTGAAGCCGCCCTCCCCGAGGGATGGGTGAGGGTCGGGATGCGAGTGGCAGGACTCGGGCGAGTTGCTACCAGACACGAGTATAAATTTAAAAAAATACAGATACTTATATACCCATGTTCACAGCAGCCAAAAGGGGGAGGCAACCCAAGGGTCCACTGGCAGATGATGGATAAACACGATGTGGTCCATCCACACAGAGGAATATGATTCAGCCTTAAAAAGGAAGGAAGCCCTGACACCTGCTACAACAGGGATGGGCCTTGAGGATGTGATGCTCAGTGAAGTGAGCCAGACACAAAAAAGGCAAATACCTTAGATGGGGTCCCTGGAGGAGTGGAATTCATAGAGACAGAAAGTAGAAAGGTGGGGGCCAGGGGCCAAGGGAGGGGGCGGGGGGTTACAGTTTAATGGGGACAGAGTTTCAGCTCAGGAAAATGAACAGGTTCTGGAGGTGGATGGTGGTGATGGTTGCACAACAACGTAGAGATACTTAACGCCACTGAACAGAACTCTTAGAAATGGTTAAAATGGTAAACTTTATGTTATGTACATTTTACCACAATAAAAATACGGATGGAATTTTTCAAACCCCGACATACAGGAAACCATTAATAACAATGAAGCAAAAGCCAGAAAATCAGATGTGGAGAGAAAGGAAGAAGCTACACAGCCTTGGTACAAAGCCTGCCCCAGCACGTGTTAGCTGTGTGACCTTAGGCAGAGTACTTAACCTCTCTGGACTCTGTCTGTAGAATGGTGAGGACACTGGCATCTACACCACAGGTGTGTTTAAGGATTAAACAATGCCTCCCACAGAGCAGCACACCACATCGTGTTTGGGAAATAAAATATGACTCCTATCTCTAAGGAAGTCGTTTGGTTAAAAAGTGGGCTCAGGGCCCAGAGTGTTCATTTGAAGTAGCAACCCTTCAAGAATTATAAATTGTTTTATTGGCACAGGTATGTGATCCTTTTACAAAAGCAGGTGATCTGGAGAGGAAAGCACGTTTGAATCTGCACGTACACATGCTGACAGCTTCACGGGGCTGACGGGTGTCTGGAAACAACCTTACCGCACACCTGAAACACCAGACACGCTCGGGCGGGTGGCCCCACGGTGAGCGGAAAGCAACTGCTCGTGTGTCAGCCTGTATTTGCACAGGATTTAGGGTCTGTACCGATTAAGCCCTTAGAGTCGCAGGTTAATGAAGGAATGGATGTGACTGAGATTTTAGAGGCACAAGTCTCCGTACAGACAGAAAGTAGTACACTGATTATTTATTCCCAAATATTCACGTTTACAATAATTTCTCACCAAGATACCCATTACTACTAATACAGTCAAAATGGCGAGTCATTTTGCCTCCCCTCCCCCAAATATGAGGGTTTACACATGGCATGTTTGATGTATGTGGTTTATTTCTGGTTTTGCAGGAACAATCAGGGAGCAACAGGCACAGAGAGCGGGTCTTCTCCGCACTCACCGCCCCCTCTGCCTGGAGCCCCGCGGCCCCCTCCCCACCCCACCCCCGCCCCCCGCATTCGGCCGGCCCACAGACACCCGAGAGCTCAGGCTTCGGTCAGGCTGGTTGTCCCAGCCGACAGGGACTCAGACGCGGCGTCTGCTCTCCGCCAGCTGTTTGTGTCAACACGGGCAGGGGACGGAGGAAAGTCAACAAGGTAACTTCACCCTTTCAGATGCATCTTTTTGAGGCCAACCTTGACCCACGCCTACACTCCAGGAAGAGACGGCAGCTTCCGCCAGCGGGCCTCCGGAACACTCCATCACACTGGCCTCTCTGTCTGCACCCCTGGGCTCTTGCATTTTTCAACAGTTCAATAAACACCAGTTGACGCGATTCACCTTCCTGTCCTTACCTCCTCCCTTCCTTTGCCCCTCCCTTCTTTTCTCCCCTCTCTCCCTCCCTCTCTCCATACATCTTCCTTCTTTCCTTTCCTTCCTTCCATCTTTCCATCATTCCATCATCCATCCTCCCATCCATCCTTCCTTCCATCCATCCATCTTGCCTTCCATCCATCCATCCATCCATCCTCCCACCTACCCATCCATTCACCCGTCTTTGTACCCCCATAGCTTTTCACAGGGTTTGGCACAAGCAAGCTTTCAGTAAATAACAATGCCACCATTTTATTTAGCACTTACTATGAGCAAGTGACTATTCTAAGGGCTTTAAATGTTGACTAAGTTGTGCAATGTTTTTCCTCTAAAAAGGCAATTTCATGCTGTAAAAGAGACTAAAGGAAAAATACAGACTCTTATACACTGGATACTGACTAAGCCCATTGAAATTAAGGGACTAAGAGCATGACAGGTACTCCTGAGCAGGCCTGAACACTCCTGCAGTGGGTTCCCTGAATAGCTTTTGCATTAATGTTTCTGTAATGCTTTCCTGCTACCCAAGGGAAAAAAAAAGAGTTCCCCTTCCTCTACCATAGCCTAAAGGCCACATTTTATTTTAAGCGCTGTCATAGCCCCAGGAATTATGTGCATTTTTCATAAAAACACTTTAAAATATTGATACAGAATCTCAACACAGATGATTTACTTCGCAATCCATTTGCACTGAGAACTGCTGGGAGGGGCCACACCAAGAGAATTTCCTTCTGAGTTAACAGGAAGGAAGGGCTGGCATTTTTATTCTGCTTAATTCTTCCTTTCCAAAATGAGCAGAGTCAGCACTTCAGACTCCACCTGTAACTCGCTGGGCTGTTTACCCACGATCACGTTCACACCGCGACCCTGAGGGGCCGAGAAAACCCCGGCCGCGGCCACAGCGTCCACTCCGTGTCTTCGCTATGGACTGGTTTTCTCATTTATATCATGTTGTTAAATAGCTCAATAAATCAATGATGGAGAAAAGTATGTCTACAAATTAGGGGGGAAATAACATTACAGAACTATTAACCATAATGAGATTTGTGAGGCGGATTTTCCACACACCAGGCTAATCCCCGGGCCTGGATTTCCATCTCAGTCCACACTTGAGAGCCATGCGGGCCCTTGTGTTTTTCAAGGCCATTCTGGGGATACGCCTTGGCTGGCTCTCGAGCCCCAGGTGAGGCTCGCCCTGCTGGGACGTGCGGGAGACCCCCGCCCGGCTCCCCTTCTCCACTTAGGAGCTCCTACATCACCATCCTGGGAAAGCTCATGCTTGGCCAAAGAGAACAGTCGCTCGCTTCCAAAGCCACACCCCTGGCTGGTTGAGGCCAGAGGACAAGACCGGCCCTGCTGGTGCCCAGGCTTTGACCTTCAGGCCGGGGCCTCCTGATGTCTGTGGCGGGGTGTCCGTGGCGTCTGCTGGGCCCAGCCCCCTTCCTGGACACCCAAGAGAGTGCCTTCCTGGACCCTCGCTGTTGGGAAGACGCCAGCACAAGGTAAGAAGGCGGGGAGACCGCTGGGAAATAAACTTGCAAGATGCTCCTGGATAAATCGCACGCCAGTCGCACACAGACCCCATCGGGCTCGGGAGGCGAGCTGAGTGAGGGTCCCCACACACGGGCGCGGCCCCACTGCTTGGTTTTCTGTAAAGAATGTGAGCTCTTGGTCTTGGCTGCCCCACTGCGGTACCTGTCTCCTGAGAAGTGGCTGGTTCTGACGACCCCTGTGAGGGAGAGCTCCTCCAGCCCACCAGGTCCGCCAGCCCAGCACACATGCTCCTGGGGAGGGAGCGAGTCGGCGCCACACCTCCCCGCCCGGCGGCAGGAGCACCTGTGTCCCCGGACGCGAATGGGGATGGCTCTCTTCGGAACCGAGACAGAGCCGGGTCCAGGCACACCCAGGCTCCGTCGCTCAGTTCACTCCTTGGATGCCCAGAAGCACACGGCGAGCTGCAGACAGGCAGACAGGCCCACACAGAAGTTTGATTTCATGGGCGACTAAACGGGGTCTCTGTGCCGAGCGAGACTCGTTCACGGCCCGCGACGCCTGGTTCCGCCGACTCAGGCCCCCAGCGGCGGGCGGCCGCCCGCCCGCCTGCAGGTGCTGCTCCTTAAACGCTGCCGTTTCTCTTTCGATTGATGGTCTGCATCAGAAACGTAACTGGAACAGGTGGGGCTGAAAGCAGAGGCTACACACACCTGAGCTACAAAAATGACCTTTTGTTGGATCCTCATTTAAGGCAGGAGACACAACGAGATGAATGTCAAAATCTGGAGGATGGCCTGTGCAGGGACCCAGCCCGCGGGGGAGCAGCTGCGGAGGCTGCCGGGCCGCCAGCATGGCGGTCGCAACGGAGACCCCGAAGTCCACACGGGCCGGTGACGGGTCAGAGCTGCGGCCGCAGCCCTCTGCTGGAGATGCCGACTTGGGAGCTCTGGCGGATTTTACACCTTTGGAAAAAATACCGATTTTTCTTTTCTTTGCTCATTTAAAAAGCCCCCCAGTCAAAGTCGGAAAACGGGCAGGACGAGTGGGGAGGGGACTGCGGGGGCTCCCGGAGGGCTGGAAGTGGAGGGGAGGGGCCCACTCGGGGGCGGGGGGCTGGCCCCCGTCTAAACCGCTCTCATCTCTGGACCAAGTACATCCATCGTGAACAAAGCGACACAGCGTCCGCTGGGCACTGGGCACGTCCTCATTACGAATTTCATGGCTGCTCTGGGGAGGAAAATGTATTTGTGGTTCCTTTAGTGCCACTCCGATCTATTGTGTAAATATGTAAATTGGGTTTCCTCATCTACACAGTCAAATGCTTCGGGATAATTTGTGTAAATAAATCATCCATGTGTGTCCGCTGCGTGGTTTCCACCACCTTCCTGGGAGCTCAGCCACACTGACTGGGAGGAGACAGTCACCCGACCAGAGGCGTGCCTTGGCCGAGGTGCCCTGCGGAGTCTGGGCCGCGTCCTGGGGCCCACACTCACGGACCGCCCTTCCCCAGGGGTGAGAGGGAGCCTGCACCCCAGCCTGGTGCTTTCTGCATTCACAGCTGTTCAGTCGTGTCCACATTAGGGCGTCAGCGGAATTTGCAGGGGTTGAAATGAGGATCCTCAGGCGAGATGCTGCACCAGCACCTCCCTGGGCTGCCCACCCTGACGGCCACCCTCTCCCAGTCCCGCCGGCCATTCTCTCCCACCAGTTGGGCAGCCAAGCTTCTTGCCTTCCATGTGCAAGATGGAGACGTGGCCAGGCAGGCGGCCGGGCAGGCAGCTGGAGGCCCCCGGGGCACCCAACAAAGTGGCTCCATCTTCCAGACACCCAGTGGCGAGGGGCCCCTAGTGGAGGTGGGCAGCCCTCTATCAAAATTACCCCTCCCCAGGTTAAACGGGGCCCACCCACCTAAGCCCCGCCCCTTCAGACACCACCGCCCTGCCCGGAGAGTCTGGCCGGAGAGCCCGGGTGAGGAAAAGACACAGTGCCTGACGCGCAGGCACTGAGTCCCATAGCAGATGAAAGCTGGGGTCCCAGGCCCGTGGGCCTGCACAGGGTTTAACTATTGACGACCAATCAAAGCATTTCTTTACTCCCAGCTTCCCTCCCCTGCCACGGAGAGGATAGGGTGTCCTTCTCAATTTTCAGTGGCCGGACAGCCTGCTCTGGGCGCCGTTTTAAGCTGAATTGCTTATTTTGAGGCTGCTGTAGCTCCCCGTGCAGCTGTGGGAAGCCACACCGAGTCCCAGGTGTCCTTGATCCAGGGCTCCCCAGGGTGTCATCTCTTGAAACTACTGTGCAACACAACCAGGAAACGGAGAGTGATGCGGTCCCAGCACGGAGCCTTGCCATCACCCGAGGGCCCCTCCTGCGGCCTCTCTCAGCCAGACGCCCGCTGAGAGCCTTAGCTCTCATCAGGGAGGAGGAAAAGGCCCTCCTGTGTGCGTCCTCTGTGCCGGCGCTCTCTGGTCATCCGCTGACTCCGAGGGACCCCGTCTCAGGACGGTTTTAGATGCATAACTTAAAACTGAAAAGGAGACCTGTTATATTGGTAAGGCTCACCGTCACCTAGAGGGACTGAAGTTCATGGTGACGTCTGTCTCCTGGTTCTGCGGAAGGTGTTGGTCACGGGCCCCCTTGTTAAGCTACGTGGTCTTTGGAAGATGTGGTGGAAAGACGGGATTCCGCATCCCAGGGCAAGTCAGGAGTCTTCGCGGACGCTTTGGATAACAAGGTCTTGCAGGGGCTGCACTTGACAGTGACTTCAACGTAACCTGAGTGTCCACGCCCCTGGGCCACTCCTGCCACGGCTGCGATCTCACTGCCGGCAGCTCCACAGGAACCACACTCACTCACCTACTGGAATGGGTGCAGTTGTGTCCCCCTGACACTCGTATGTTCATGGCCTAACGCTAGAATGGAACCTCATTTGGAAATACGGTCTTTGCAGATGGGATTAGTTAAGACGAGGTTTTTAGGATAAGCCTGAATCTGATGTGACTGAGGCCCTTATAAAACAAGGAAATCTGGACACGGGCGGGAACACGGGGGTCGGCCACGTGAGGGGGAGGGAGGGTCTGGGGGATGCGTCTGCTTCTGGCGCCAAGGAACACGGAAGGTCGCCAGCAATGCCCCCGAAGGGAGGGGGAGGCCTGAAGCAGCCCCTCCCCCGCAGCCCCAGAGGGAACCCCCTCCCTGCCCTCGCCTTGACCTTGGACTTCCAAACGTCGTCAGGAGAGAGCCGCCTGGCTACTCGGGTGCCATCACTTTCCGAGGTACGGGGGGACGAGTGACCACAGAGGCCTCTGACCAGCCCAGGCCTGTCGTGGATTTGGGACCCTCCGTTTCCAGATCAGGCCGAATGCCCCGCTTACCAGGAAGTCTTGATATGCTCTTGAGCCAAAGAGCTATTCATTCGCCTTCACATAGAAACTTTTTTGGTCTTATGTACTAGGTTCTTCTCACAGGTTTCTAGAAGGTGCTTCTAACTAGTGATCTTTCAAAAGCAGCTGGTGGGAGGAGGGGACGCCTGTGGCACGGGGACGTGTGAACTTTGGGGCTCTTTCCTCTTTGTCTAACAGCGTCTTTACATGTTAGATGGAAATGCTTCAGCGCTGTCCTCCATCCAGAGAGCGGGACCTGGTGACACACTCTCTGGACGCGTCCCTGGCATACTGGGGACTTCCATGCTGAAGTGTCCAGATGAACCGTGGGAGCATGTGAAGCCCTGGCACGCCGGGATTTCCACGCTCAGGTGTCCAGAGGAACCGTGGGAGCATGTGAAGGTCGCAGGGAATGTGCTTGGTGTTCTTGCCCTGGGGACATCCCCCCCGGCTCCCAGCAGTAATACCAACTCAGCCCACCGGAAGCTCCCTTCCCAATCACGTCCGCTCTCAGTTATCAAGTTGACGAGAAGGCAGGGGCCCTCGCAGGGCAGATGGGGTGGGGGGAGCTCAACCTTGCGTTCAGCAGGTGATGAGTCAGTCTCACCAATGACAGGACTTGTCACAGCGACCACGACAAGCACGGGTCTCACCAAGGTCCCCAGGTGGGTCTGGAAACACTCGGGGTCCCCTGGTGACCTGAGCACGTTTTCAAGCGGCCCTAAGTTCTCACCCACTACTTCCGAGAGTGACAGCCGTCCTCCCCGAGCCTGTGTGACGCGGTGAGGTTAACAGCGCAGCCGCGGCCACGGAAGCGGACAGGAGGGAGGGGCCTCTCGTTTCTGCAGGAAGCGCTGGGCAGGGGGCCCGCGGCTCTGACCCAGCCCCTCATTCACACGTGGTTCCGGGGCAGCGCCCACTCCTACCTGAGGGCCTGGCCTCGATGACGTAGCCCGTGGTGGGCGTCCTGCCCGCGCTGCCCTCTGTCCACTGCAAGGTCAGCTCAGAGGCAGATTTGGTGACGGAGACGTCTCGAGGGGAGCCGGGGGAACCTGGGGGATGGAGCAGAGGAGAGCAGGGAGGTTTCAGCATCGGGACCCCGTCCCACCGAGCGGGGCCCGCTCTGCTGCTGGTTCTCCGGGCAGGGCTCACCCTCCCTCAGTCCCAGGCTTCTCAGCTTAAAAGTGGGGGGTGGCAGGGTGGGGGGTGGGGGGCCCTCACGGGGTCGATCAGAGAATTAAGGCAGCAGCATTGATGGACCTGGAGATGATCACACTAAGTGAAGTAAATCAGACAGAGACAAATACGACGTGATAGCACTTATGTGTGGAACCTAAAATATGACACAGGATAACTTGCTTATAAAACAGAAACAGACTCACAGACAGAAAGCAAACTATGGCGACCAAAGGGGAAGCAGGGAGGGGTAAGTCAGGATTTGGGGATAGCAGACACACACTACTGTGTATAAAACAACAGAGACAAGCAACGAAGTCCTACTGTGTGGCCCACGGAACTATGCTCAATTTCCTGTAATAATTTATAACGAAGAAGATTCTGAAAAAGAATGTATGTCCGTATGTCTGAAGCAGTTTGCTGTGCACCTGACGCTGACACAACGCCGTGGGTCACTACACTGCAGTTAAGGAACAGAGCGCGATGTGGCGTGAAGGCGTCCCGGCCGCGGGCAGCAGCGTCCTGCGTGTCTGACCCGCTGTCCTGGCCTCCAGGCAGATTTAAACAAAGGTCAAGGTCGTTTGTGAAGTGGGAAGCTACGGGCTCCTCTTCACGATGTGAAAACTTTAAAATTTTTCTTACGCCTCTTATTTAAAACCTTTCATGCACTTATTTTCTCCTAATTCTTTGTATTTGAAAACAGCCACCAACGTCACGGGCTTCACACCAGGGAAGTCGCTCATCTGCACTGAACAAGGCCCCCTGCAGACGTCGGTGTGAACACGCGCGCCTGGAGGCGGCGTGGGAAGGCCCTGCGTTGGTGCGGGCTGGGCCGGCCTCGCGGCTCGCTGCGGTGTGGACCAGCCCCCCGCAGGACAGACGCGGGACTCACCCTCGGCCGGCCCGGCCGTGACGTTGGCCTGTAGCTCGGGCCCGTAGGCGATGGTCCGCGCTTGCACCCGGAAGAAGTAGGTCACCCCCTTGGTGAGGTCCCGCACCTTCAGCCAGTGCCGCCAGCTCCCCTTCACGTCCACCGTCACCACCTTGCTCACCCCTGGGGAGGGCGAGAGGCGGCCGGGTTCAGAGGGGCCCCGTAACCAGGAAGCCCCCCACCCCCGGTTTGCAGAGGACGTATTTCTCACAATTAGGAGGAGTTTAAAGTGGTGATAATGGCCAATGTTCAGCACAGGCAAGTGCAATTAGAGTCTAAGCTTGATTGACAAGTGGGTGCTGACAGAGGAAGCAGCAGCCTTGCACCCCGCAGGGGCCCGGGGTGGGCAGGCAGGGGCCCGGCTCCCTGGTCACGTCAGGAGGGGAGAGGCCCAGGCCGGGCGCCACGGGCAGGGCAGGGCCCCGAGGTCTGCAGGGCCCTCCCCACGTGGCGTTGAGCTGCATCGCAGGCGACCTCGGGCTTCCTGACTTAGTCACCGGGCGGAGAACGTGGACAAGTATGCAGGAAGACTCCGTGCTGGCTAAAGGCAGCCCCCATCCCCGTCCCCCTGCGACGGCCACCCTGCCCCCTACAGGCCCCAGGAACACACAGTAACCTCACTGCGGACTTCAAGGGAACGATGAAGCCTCTGTCACCACCACCATTGGTGCCACCACCCAGAGAGCTGTGAAGGCACAGACACTTGGCTCATGAACGTGGAGACGGAGCAGGGGTGCTGTGGGCGGAACTACGTTTAATCAGAGAACGGAGATGGGACAGGCCGGGAGGCGGATACAGACTGAAAGTTACATACACAGCGCATTCCAGAAGGGAAAGTGGGGCTCTCTGGGACCACAGGTTTGAAAATGGTGCACCGAAACCCAGAAGGTTCACGAGCTCTCGAGAGCAGGACTTCTCAGAGCTTTCAGGGCACCAGTGTCTGTCGGCATCTCTTGGAGGAAGACGTCGGGACGCGGCGTCTCCAGCAGGACTGGTAGAAGAGCTGTGTCCGGGGCCTGCTGCCCAGCGCCCCCTCCGCCCCCACCGCACCCCCCATGCAGAGGACCGACAGCCTCCCACGAGGGCGCGGGCCCGTCTGCCTCCTCGCCTTGACTCCCTGGGCAGCCCTGACCTCCGAAGGCCCCGACGAGGCGCGTCCAGCTTTCAAATTCCCCTAATCCTACTGGCCTCCAAAACACCTTCTAGTGGGTTTATTGTCTTCATGTTATGCCTTTGATAAAACATTTGTTCAGCTAAATTTTTATTTCCAAATTATTTCAGAGCGATTTTGGCCACTTTTGGGGGATTCAAGTTTTTCTGGAGAGACGCAGAGCCGGTTCTGCCCCAAGAGCCTGCGCCTGGCCAGACCGCTCCCGAGTCGGGTTTCCAGGGTGACAATTCACCCACACCATGACCGCCATCAGCAAACGCATGGGGTCCTGCCGGATACAAAGATTTTCTTGAGTGGCGTCTCTTTTTTGTTAAAAAATGCCTTCCTTCTTCTCGGAGCAGAACCAGACCTGGGCGCGGATCCTGTGAGTGCCACCCCACCAGGAGACTCTGTCAGAACCTTATTTATCTAGTCAAGTTTAAAACCATGCCCTGCACTCCAAAGCCTCAGGGTGCCATCACATAAAACACTTCCATTTAAAACATTTTTAAAAACATAAAAATAGCTCTGCCGCAGAATCAGATTCCCGGGACACGGCTCAGCGCTCCGTGGGGCTGGGCGCTCCGGGGAGGCTGCGTGTTCCCACGGCGACCAGGGAAGTGGCCTCGGCACACCACACAGTGGGCCTGCCTTCCTGGTGGAGGCACCACGGGGTCGCAGCCCTGGATAAACACCGTGCCGTCTGTTCCCTGGGCCTGGGCTGACGGTGCCTGCCTGGGAGTCTGCGGACATCCATCCAGACACTGCTGGGGGCGTGGGGGATGAGGCAGGAAGAAAGGCCGGCCGGGTCACCCCCAAGGTCAGGCCATTGCTTTACAACCAGTTTTTACTGTCTTCACCACAAACCTGCGTGACCCGTGATGCTCCCCGCAGTGCTAGCACGGAGGTGACGTCATTCTGGCCCCAGATAAAGATGCCCAGTGTTTCCTCCACGTCCGTAGCCGTGCCTCTGGGAGATGTGCGGGCTTTCTGAAGCATCAGGAAGTAGTGACGTTGCTCGGAGTCCCGGTTACCACTTCCATGGTTCCCTGTGGGAGACCCTGGATTCCACAGTGAAGGGGGAGTCAGGTTCTCCAGGAGCACACAGATCAGGTCGGCCAGCTGCCCGGAGGGGAGGAGGTCTAGAATCGAGGACCTGGGGGACCGCGGGGAAGGGATGGGCCTGGAGGTGGAGACTGGGGGAAGCGGGGGCCGGGGACACCGGGCAGCTTGACTTCAGTGAGGGAAGCCGTGTGCTGTTCCCACGGTCACTGCCTTGTGTTCAACCTCTCCGTCCTGAACCACGGCTCCATCCCACAGCGTGAGGCCTGCTCAGTTGTGTGGCAGCCAGGTCTTCTGTACAGGAGGTCCAAACGCCCCCAAGTGCCCGCAGGCAGAGAGGAGCTGTATTGAAGAGTGGGTTCTCTCTGCAGCTCGTGGGGTTGGCTGGCCGGGAGGCAGAGGGCGGCACCCCGGAACCTGGAACCAGCCCAGGTATGTTACTTATTCCCCGTGGGACGCCAGGCAAGGCCCTTGACCTCTGCAGCCTCAGTTTCCCATGTTCCGAGTTGGTGGCGCCAACGTCACCGAAGTGTTGGGAGGGGCCAGGAAGAGGAGCTGGAGGTGAGCACAGAAAGCCAGGACCCTGCCCTGTGATCACACCTGGGCTGCCATCCGCCTCCCCGCGGTGGACTGCACTGCTCCGGGACCAGCGGCTCCAGACGGCCGCCATCCTGCTGGCCTGGCCTTTGCTGGGGGCTGGTGGGGCTGATGGTGGCCGGGCTCCTGTGGGTCTGTGGCTGGCCCTGCACGTGGTGGCCTCCTTACAACCCCACCTCGGTTAGTCTACTTTTCCACCCCCGTGGGCCGGGCTCCTCCCTGGCCTGTGTGGCCGTGGGCAGCTGGAAGGGGTGAGGATCACTGTCTGGCGAAGGCCAGGCAGGCTCATGCGGGGATCCTGAGAAGCCAAGTGGGAGGTGGTGATGAACAGGGCACTTCTGGAAGGTTACAGGGTCACCAGGTTAGCCCTGGGCTCCAGGTTGATGGGGAAGGGTGCTTGCTGGTTGCCGGGAGGCTGGGGGGAAGCGCCAGGCCCGTGGCCACCTCACCCCAGCGGGAGCGAGGACAGAGCTGTTGTGGGATGGGGTCTGCGGCTGGGGACCCCTGGTGCCAAAGGCAGTCCTGTGACGCCGTGGGCTGGGCTGGGCACCTCCCGTCACTGTCACGGTCACCGTGGAGCACCCCCAGCCCCAGACCACACAAGACAGATGAGTAGGAGTCAGGGAGCCCGGGACGTGCATGGTCAGAGCCTGGGTCTGGACGGTTTGTCCTCGAGCCCAGGGCCATTGTCTCAACCTCCGCGGCGGCAGAGGCAGGGGAAAGCAGAGCCCCGCTCCCCCAGCTCTGCCGGCGGGGCCCGCGCCCAGGCCGGAGGCAGCAGCCCTCCCTGTGGACCGGCTGTCGCGTTCCCTGTGCACACAGGTGAAAACGGTTGTGACCGAGGGGACTCCCCTGCTGTCATGTGGGAGCATGACAAGCCCCCTCTGCGGCCGGAACCAGAGTGCTTACTAACAGCCCCTTGGGCTCCGCTCCGACGTCCTGTCACACTTCAGTTCAGAACACAGGAGCTCCGGACATCTTCCCCGTCACGTGGCAGGTGAGGCCTTGGCTCCAGAGCCCGACCACCTGGGTTCGTTCCAACCTTCCCCGACCGCAGGCCCAGGTCAGCGTTTTAGGGGCTGGAAGCCCTGTGGCTTTGTCTGTAGAGGTAGGAAAGCCGCGGTCCACGCTGCAGGGCCGTGGGGAGGATTCTGAGAGGATGCGCGTAAGTGGGTGGCAGGCGCCTGGTCTGCAGCAGGTGCTGCGTGGACAGCCCCCCGCCCCTGCCGTCGGCCTGCCCGGCAGGGGCGTGTCGACAGGAGCACACAGCCCGGTGAGCTGCTCGTGGTGAACGTGGCGAACATGGAATCCGAGTGAGTGATGCCGAGGGGAAATGAGCAGGTAGCCACAGCCCCGGCCGCACAGCAAAGCCAGAGGCCCTTCCCGAGCGTGGCCGTGGGGAGGACATCGTGGAGCAGGGCCAGGCTGGTTGGGCAGGGGTGTGGACGCGACTGGCCTGGAGACCAAGTGCTTTCGCCGAGACTAATGCGCCAGTCCAGCAGACAGGTGCTCGCCGGGAGCCGGGAGCGATTCTGCAAACCCACTGACACGGAAGCTCCGCTCAGCAGAGGAAGTCACTTAGTTGAGGCAGCGTGGGAAAACTCATTGCCTGGGGTGAGGACGGACAAAGTAGGTCAGAGGCACGGTTTCTGGCAATCCTTTCTCACTTGAATCTTGCTAGTGGGTTCATAGCCTTGAAAAGGTGAGCAAATGAAGGTCTCCAGTATCCCTGGCTCTTCCCTCCTAAGGGCAAGAGCATGGCCTGTTGTCTCCTTCTGGGCCTCTGGGGCTGGAACTGTGCCCACAGCCACGCCCAGGCCGCCTGTCCCCAGACAGGCGCCCGGTTCTGGAAGGAGCACAGCCGAGCGTGGCCATGCTAGGTCAGTGTCAGTCCCCGCCCTCTGGGCCGTTTCACAGACTGTATGCACACATCACCTCTACCGTTATCTACCAAAGCTCATCGATCTTCCGAGATGCGCTCTCTTCCCCCTTGCGTTTCACGTCTCCGATTTGGGATGCAGCTCAGCACTGATGATACCAAAGTATTGGGCCATAGTTTATTGGAAGCATTTTTTCTTTCGTAGCACTTCATAAAATAACAATGAATCTCACAGTCAATGGCAGTTTAGAGTCGATGAAATAAAATCCAGGGCTTAAATTTTCTTCTTCAAATCAACTCCCTGTTTTCCTTGAATGTGCTTAGTTTTTAAAAGGAAACTTATCATGGCTCTAAATGGAGAGCCAATATTATTTGATATGTTGGTTATATTTTTTGCTGCTGGACATTAAATAATTTGTAATTTTTATAGCCCGTCTGTGTCTACGAGCAGGGGAACCCTCTGCTCCCTTCTCTGCACTGCAGTCCTGGGCACACAGTGGGGAGATGAGGAAGCGCGCACCCCACCCCAGGGTGCACGCAGGCAGCCGGGCAGGGAGGACGGATGAGGAGACGAGGAATTAGATCATCGAAGAGCTGGGTGGGTCACCGTGGCCCGTGTGACCGGCCCCGTGGCATCGCCCCTCCTCCCTCTGTGGGCTCCCCTGCCTCCGCATGCCCCGGCGACTGAGCCTCTGTGGGCTGGTGTTGCCTCTGACGCTGGGCGCCTGGGTCCCTCCTGCCCCCGGCCCCCCCTCTGCCCCCGCTCTCTTCTCGGCACTGATCAGGATCAGAGTTTGTTTGTTCAGCTCTTTGTGTGTTGCTCTCTCCTCACTGGAGGACAAGCTCCCTGCATTGAGGAAAGCAAGGACCGTGGTTAGCAAGTCAGCTAAGTCCTAGCTTTCCTGGGTCCAACGATTCCGGCATCTCAAAGGGCACCTGGCACTCAGCAGGCCCTTAAAAAGTGCCCGCTGACTAAGCGGCAGAAGGAAGGGCGGCACCAGAGAAGAATCTGGGGGGTCTCTGGGTTGTCAGCACCTCTGATCGTCCACGTGGCCCACGTGGTCCCGACACCTGGCTTCTCCTGAGGCCCGAGCGCTGTGATCTCAGGAGGAGACCGTGGTCTCGGGAGAGCCGTGTCTTGGGGAATAAAGAGACTGCGCAGGGGCCTGTGGAGAGAGCCCATAAGAACCCAGGATGTGGAGGTTCTGGTCCCGCCCTGCATGTCCACCAGGCTCTGCCTTGGGCCTCGCTGCTAGACTGTTGAGTGCTGTGCACCTGTGGGCCCCCCTTCCCGGGCTGGCTCACCTTGGACAGGCGCTAAGGGCTCGTACACCACTCGGTAGCCCTGCAGGACGCCGTTGACCGCCGCCGGCTCACCCCACGACACGTTCAGCGTGGTGGAGGTTACTTCTGAGAACGCCAGAAAGCTGGGGGCCCCAGGAGCTGGAAGAGGAGGGCAGAAAGGACCTGCACGGAAGCTCCTTTACAGACCATCTACGTCCGTGTCTGCGCCTCCCCATGGAGTGAAGATGTTATTAGATGTTATTTTCAACTCAGTACAGCCTCAGCGCCTCGGGATGGAAAGATTTATTGATCATTTCCGAACTTCCGGGATCAATCAGAAACTCAGACCCTCCTGAGAGGAGCAGAGGGAATGACGGTGTTTGAACACAAAGGAGCCTGAGAGGTGCAGGGACAAAGGCATAAAAACGAGGAATAGATGGAAGCGGAAAGCGAAATGCAGGCAGCTCCGTCTCCGGGCCCTGCAGAGGGCCCCAGGGACCCCAGGCCTGCTCTTCTGGGGGGACCGGGCTCTGTGACGGCCGACGGCCGAGGCTCTGCCTCCCATCCCCTCCTGGGGGCCCGGAGGTCTCAGAGGACACCCCTTCCCCACCCTCGTCTGGAATCTCATCGGCACCTGCTACCTCAGTGTCCCGCTTGGTCTGGAAACGGGGGAGCCTGTCTCTCACGAGCCACCCTGAGTTGGAAAACGTTCGCAGCAGACGCAGAGGGGAGCCTGCGGAGCCTGCCCCCGGCCCCCGTCCACCCGGAGCTGCCCCGACCCGAGTGGGGATGGACTCATCTCTAGCCTGGGTCCCCTCGAAGCTCAGAGGTGCCCACAGATCTCCCTGATTGTCCCCTTTCTGCCCTCTCCCCAGTCCCAGAGGCTCTGTGGCCCCATGACCTGCCAGGGCTGCAGTGCCCTGAGGGCCCCCACACTCTCGCGGCTCAGAGTCCACAGGCGGCCCCTTTCAGGCTGCTGGCCGAGGCCCCGCGGATGCACTCCTTGCAGCCTGGTGGCGGTCGTCTCACGGGAAGTGAGATGCTCATGCTCCCAGGAGGTGAATTGTCTAGGAAGGCTGGTGGTCGGCTGAACCCCCAGAGCGTTGGGGAGCCCTGAGTGGGGTAGGTCTCCGCCCTCCCAGGTTCCTTAACCTCACTGTGCCGGCCTTCCACCCCCTGGATCTTATGAAGTGCCTCAGGGCTCCCCGGACCCCAGGCCCCGCCTCCGCTGCCTTGGGATACCTGGTTCCCCTCAGACTGCCCTCCAGGCCCCGAGGGAGCTCTGGGGTCACCCGGAGAGTGAGCGATGTGCTCAGAACACACACGGTGGTGGAGAGGAGGCCACAGGCCACGGGACGGCTGGCAGGGCAGCCCGTCCACTCCCGGAGACCTGCCTGGCGCGGGTGCCCAGAGACGGCTGGTGAGCACTTCCAGGGCTGCTCTGTGGCCTTGAGGCCCCGGGGGACGGCCATGCTATGGCCTGGGCTCAACACGTCAAAGTATGAGATCCCCCCACCCCGCTTTGTGCAGCCCCGAGGAGATGCCCCCGGGGGCTGGGAGGAGCCCTGATGGTTGGGAAGGAGGCCTCGGAGCAGATGTGAAGCCCTGTGCCCCTCGCTGCCCTGGAGGCTCCGGAGAAGGACACATGCTCACACTGGCCAACATGTATGGAGCAGCTCCGGGCATGCGGCCGAGGCCAGGCCCGGGGACACCACGTGACTCAAACCCAGAAATCCCCAGCCCCCCGGGGTCGGGGGACAGGACAGGCAGCGCTCACAGAAGGCGTGTCAGAGGCCGCGAAGGGAACACCTGCTGTCCTACCGGCCTGGTGGGTGCAGCCCTGCCGGGCGTCACTCCGGGGCCCGTCTCCCGCCGCGTTGAAGGCCGAGATGCTGACCAGGTACTTGGTGTGGCTGGTGAGGTTTTTTCAGCTTCACCGTGGTCTCCGGCAGGAACAGCACCTTCATCCTCTCCGTCTCGTTCTGGCTGCCTGCCTCCCAGTAGTAGATCTGTCGGAGAGAGCAGGAGGCTGGAGGCTGTCGGTGGGCGGGGGGCGGGGACAGCGCCCCTTATGTATCTGGTCTGCAGGACAGGGGGCCACTGAGTGCCATGGGGACCCGAGTGCTTCCTGGGGCCAGGTATGTGTTGCAGAGTCAGGGGCGGCTGAGGTCAAGGTCAGGGTGGACGGAGACCGGAGGCTGCTAACACTGCCTGGGGGCCAGGATTTGCGTTTCTGAGTTGTTCTTCTAGAGGTCGAGCCCTGCCTGATGGGGTCTGAGGATGGAAGGGGCGTCTCTTCCTGCGACCAGTGAAGTGCCTGTCCTCTCACAGAGCTGGCCTCCGGGCCCCTGCCCTTCCCCTGGTCCACTGGGCAGAAGGGAGGCCAGTCATGCCTATGCCCTGCTCCGACCTGTTCAAAGGACAAAGCTGACATCGAAGGCTTTGATCAATGTGGTCCAGTATTCTGGACAGTAAGACAACCAACAGGAACGTGGAGCCGAGCCACGCTGGGCTCAGCACAGCTGGGACGGCCCACATGTCTCCCGGGTTCCACTTCCTCTTGTCTGTTTCTTACGAGCTCATGGTGAAGGTGATGCCCGCATAAGAAGGTTTCTAAAGTCATCAGAATTGCTCCCCCTCGACGGCTGGCCGAGAACCACTGCCCCAAGCCAGCGCCAGCCAGGCTGCCCACAGACAACACTGCTCCGCAGATCCAGCTTGGCACTGCGGGCCGGAACCGGGCCGGGCCGCTGGGGCAGCTCGCCCGCGCGCGGAGCCGCCCGGAGCCCTGGGCCAGCTCTCCTGCGCCCACACGTCTGGCCAGGCTGCAGCGCCCTGACCCGGGAGCACCGCCTATGTCACCTGCAAGACGCAGTCCAGCTTCTGCTCTTGGACCAAATGAGGCACTCTGCCAGAACCGGCCTTCCTGACTTGAGCTCAGTATCCAAGTTCAGTGTGTCTATCATTGGGAAATTAGGAAACGTGTTCGGGACGCACACAAACAGCACGTTGCCCCCGGGCTCGCGGGGCTTCCCGTCACCTCACGAATCCTGGCAGCAGCCCTGCCACGGAGGAAGCTGCTTATTTTCGTAAAACACCTATAAAGATCCCCTTTAAGGGGCAGTTAATCGGTCCCACAGTCATCAGGGCAGGCTAGCCCACGGAACCTGGTGACTGATCGACGTGGGTTCCGCAGCCCAGACGAGGAAATGCATTCTAGAGGGGGACGGGGAAGCTTCAGGGGGCGGCACTGGCTGTCTTCTTCAGGATGGTCTGAGCTGGTCTCAGGGGGTCCGAGCACCCCTGGCAGCTGTATCTTACAGGGGGAACGCTGGAGAGAGCTTCCTGCCCTGGGGAAAGCAGCGCCATGCTTGTCACCGGACGCTCCCACCCAACGGCCCGCTGCCTTCTCCCTTCCCCCCTGCAATGTCTAGCGGAGGCGAATCTTAACAGTTTAGGGTGGGGGTTCTCCGAGCGGGGTTTCCAGGAACCAGATGCCCCAGGGGAACTTGTTACAGATGCAACTTCTTGGGCCCGTCCTGGACCTACCACAGGAGACCCAGGCCCTGGACCTACCACAGGAGACCCAGGCCCTGGACCTACCACAGGAGACCCAGGCCCTGGACCTACCACAGGAGACCCAGGCCGTGTGCGGTAGTGACCCCAGGGCGGGGCTGGGGTTGGGGATCTGTTCTCCTCAGCGCCTCCCTTTTACAGTCAGCAGAGATGGTGGGGACTCCTGGGGGCGTTCAGGGGGAGGGAGTGGCCACGCAGCGAACCAGGACCCCCTCCCAGGCCAGGAGGATGCTAAGCCGTTCTCTGGCTGCTCAGCGCTGCCCCCGGCTCTGTGGGCAGAGGGTCGGCTGTGAGTCAGGACAGGAGACAGAAGGGCTGAGTGAACTGCGGTGCAGTGCGGCCAGGTCCCAGCCAGAGCCCTCGGGAGCTCCTGTAACCTGGAAGTGCCCTGGGAGTGACCTGGAGGTGACCTGGGAGGAGGGCCAGGCTGCGTGCGAGGCAGAGCCTTGCCTTGTAGCCCTGGATGTTCCCGTTCTGGCTCTCGGGCGGCGGTGGGTCCCACGTGACCTCCAGCTGGCTGGCCGTGAGCGGGCTCACCTGCACGTTCTGCGGGGCCATGGCCGGGGCTGCGGAGAGAGGAACGGGGCTGAGAAGTCCGTCCGCACACGCAGGGCTCCCAGTCCCAGGACGGACCAGAGACCTCGCCCGGCCCAGCCGGCCTTCATGCTGGGGACGACCACAGATCCTCCTTCGAACCACGTCTTTAAATGCATAAAACAAAATCTGGAGACTCACAAGGATAAACGATTACACCGAGCCACAGCGGAGCGTCTGCAAACAAAGGTGTGACATAATAGCCCAGGTGTTCATGACAGCCTTGAAGTCAGGCTTCGGAGCTGTTCTAGCGACTGCTGTGAGGCCGGGTGTGACGAGCAGAGGGCGGCCAAGGTCTCAGTAACAACCTGGACGTGGAGGGGACACCCAGGGCCAACGCTGAGGGCCACAGGCCTGCAGACTCCACAGTGGCTCATGGCCACATTCGTAACGAGGGAGACGCTAAATTCGGAGGGAACTTGGAGAAAATAAAGGCATTTGTGTTCCCACCGCAGGTTCAGGGTCCCGGGGTACCTTGAAGCGCCTTTCCAGGGGGAGCTGACGTCTGCAGACACCGGGCTGCCCCTCCACCGGGATGGAGCTCAGGTTTCCCGGTTCCATGCTCCCTAGTGAGGCTCCCCTGGTCCTCCCTCCCTCCCACTCCGAGGGGAACCCCGGGTGCTCTGTTGGTGTCAGAGAGGCCACACTGGGCCCGTAAAAGGTGAAAGGCAGCTGACAGGGCACTGAGGCTGTCGCCAGGCCGGCAGCCGCTGGGAAGTTGGGAACCCCGCAAACACACGTGTACATTTCAGGGCATTTCTCCCTGCCCGGCGCTCCTGCAGGGGTCTGTCCTCTGCCTCCTGGGAGCTGCTCCCTCCTCCCACCTGGGGGCTCCCTACTGAAATCCATGCTGGGCTGGAACCCAGGGAGCGCCATGGAGCTGTCGGGGGCCTGGACGCGGGAGGCAGAGTGCCAGCCCAGCATCCTCGCCTCCCGCAGTCCTGCCTGCGGCCTGGGAGCTGCCTTTTGACTTGAGACTATTTCTGGACCATAAATGGAACTGATCAAACAGTCCTTGTCAGAGGGAGACAGCCCAGCACGTGCTCTTTGGAGACGGCTCCTTGGGAGAGAATGACCTTCGAGAGTCACCCCTTCCCCTCGCCCTCCCCTCCCCACTTTCCCCTCTCTCCCCCCAACAGGGAATAAAACAGTAATTAACACCCACTCGGCCTGACACCGACTATTTATTTTGCTCTAACTGTGTGGTGCCCGTGTTGCCGCTGCCCACCCTGCCGTTAATGGAAATGTTAATAGCCCACACCAGGTTGTTGCGGCAGATGCTCGGCCTCATTATCAGAAATTCTTATTTACCGCTCCATTAAACAACAGAATCACACAAAAAAACAATTCAATCAAAACTAACTGGAGGAATTTTAACAGCCACATTAATAATCCAAAACATAAATAAAGTTAATGTCTTTTGCATGTTTGCCATCGGCAACTCTATCGCAAAATTACTGTCGTACAATTAAAACGTGAAAGCAAAATGGAGCACAGCCATTACCCTGGTGGGCGGTGGGGAGCGCCTGTGTGTGGTCCCCTCGACCCCCAGGGCTTCCTGCTCAAAGGCACGGCCAATCCCAGGGCCCATAGCGCTCGGTGGGAGAGAGACATGCTCGGGGTGCAGGTGTCCACGGGAACCTGCGTGTCCACGAGCTCCCAGCGGCCCCCGGAATTCGGGGACCCTGGGCCTCTACACTGGGGTCAACACATGCTGGGCAAAGCCCCCTGGCCCCGTCCTGGACAGCTGAGCCACACGTGCTGCTGTCCCCGCCCCCGATCTCCTGCGGCACCTCTTCTTTCTGCCGTAAATATACTGCAGCTGACACAGACGTCTTCGATGAAAACACAGCAGGGAAAACAACAACCCACACGAACAGAGCAGCACAGAGGTTCGGTCCTGAGAGCCCCTGGGCTTCCACCCCCACGGGAGGGCTGACCTGCGGGGAGGGCCTCTGTTCACAGGCCCGGACGCAGGTCTTGCTTGCCACGGAGCCTGCTCGGTTTGGAAACCACAGGAGCGTCTGAGGAATCGTGGCCTTCCTGTTCTCCCGCCTTGGTGCTGGTGGTGTGCGGCTCAGGACGCTTTTGTAAAATGTGTGAAATTAGTTTAAAAAAGCTCGTGAGCCCAGCGGTCCCTGGTGTTTGCTGATGTGCGGACGGACGGCCTGCGGCGGGCGCTGGGAGCTAGGCTGCGGGGTTAGGGTCAGAGCGGGGGTTCTGTCTGGCGTCTCAGGTCCAGGCAGACGATGCTGGGACACAGCTGTCATCCGCGGGCCTCGGGGGCCGCTCCTACCACCTTGGCCCTGGAGAGGGCCTGCGAAGGCAATGACAGAGAGACTTCTGGGACTTCCAGAGGCTCCCTGTACCCGATGGCGGTACTGAATTCCAGAGATTTCTGGAACCTTCTGGGATGCTGGCTGAGTGCTCGGGGAGGCCCTGCAGAGCTGGGTGCTGAGGGCTGGATGCTGGTGGGCCAGTCCCACAGAGCAGCAAGGGCCGCTTCATCCAGCCCACTCAACCCCAGGACAGGCTCGCTGCCCCTGACACAGCCATCAGGCACCAGTGAATCCAGAGGCAGTCACCAGCACACGGTGTCTGCCCCGTCTATGTGTAAACCTGCTGGGGGAGGCGGTGCTGGCTCATGGCCCCCTACGTCCGTGTCCCCCAGAAGCCACGTGGTGGTCCTGAGCCGCAGCCCCTCAGACACCAGCCTTTCAGAACCTCTGAGACAGGCGAGGCAGCTGGACAAACACCAGAGCACTCGAACCACAGACCGGCGGGAAGCAAGACTGCAGAGGCATTTGGTAAACAGTGGAGACTGGGAGAACATGGAAATTTCTGTGCCATAGGAACCGTCCCATCCGTGGGAATGACCCTTCACAAAACACCCCTACCCGCCTTGGGAGGGCCGCCCACCCGCCCTGTGGCCAGTCCCTCCTGAGGGAGGGCTACCGTCCCCCCTCTGACTCGGGTTTGGATGATGACAGGGGAGCAGTAGTGGCACGTGGGCCGCTTCCCAGCAGAAGCTTCTGGAGTGTTCCGTGGCCCCTACCACCACCACCAGACCAGCGGGTCAGTCTGCATCTGGGAGAGACGATGGCAGGGGGCGTGGGACACGGAGCTGACCCTGACGGACAGGAACGCGAGAGAGAAAACACCCGGCTGGTGTTTAAGCCACTGAGACCCAGGGCTGATTTGTCACAGTGTAACTTTGCTGAAATTGTCCTAAATCTCAGCCAGGCCCTCGGCACAGCGCTGGGGGCGGGGGGCGGATACAAGGCAAATTTAACAAGGGAGACGGGCCACAGGAATCAGGGGTCAAGGGAGAATGAGGTGAGGACGGGCTCGAAGGGTCACGAGAGGTCAGCTCTGGCCGCGGGACGCACGGTCCTCCCTGGAAAACGACACCCAGGCGGCTCTCGGGTCACGGGGAGGGCGCGCCGTGCGACCAGGGGCTCGGGGACAAGCGCGCGTGGGAGGCGGGAGGGGGGCGGGAGTGGACAGGGGAGCCGGGTCCCAGCAGAACAGGTGGGTGCGGAGCCGCC